GAGTGAGATATATCCCTTTATCGTATAGGACTCGTATGTGGTGTACTGATATGACCTACTGATATGACAGCGAGATAGTAAGTGGCTACACGTTCAAGAAACATTTTCATACAACTGAAAAAGGAACTTTCATTGGCCATGGTAGCCATCTTGAAATCCAATATGGCGGCCTTCTAACATAATTTCCTGATTATTGCATGATACTCTCTGATATTTAAAACATGGTTAAAGGTGTGATTGACTGTGTTACGTTACTGTAGATATGAAGATAATGACTAAAATAAAAATATTTTGGCAGCTATCTTGAAATCAAATAGGGCGGCCATCTGACATAATTTCTGATGATTGCATAATACTCCCTGATATTGAAAACATAGGTAAAGACCTTTGAATGACAGTGCTAGGTGCTGTAGATATGAAGATTATTAATAAAAATCCAATATTTTGGCGGCCATTTTGAATTTCATGATGGCGGCCACTAAGCGGCTTATTTTTTGGGGTCTATTTTTTTTTATGATCCTTAGGTGTCATAGTATCACTGTGGGAAGTTTCATGCTTTCTTCCAAAAGTGCACGATTTTTCTCCTTAGCCGCTCTACTAATACTAATATACAATACGACATCATATAAGGTACACTTTACAAATATATTCAGAATAGAACACGACAATTGATTTGAGTTATATTTAGTCACAGTTTTGCTAAACAGCACAATTTCAAACATAGATGGTCATTTTTGGCAGACTATCTGGTAAGTTAAGACACTCTAATTCTGCAGGCTTTGATTTAAGAAATACTATCGAAACGCTAAATAACCAACGTAACATACGTTAATTGTTCAAGTAACTTTGTTCTATGTACAATATATAAACTGTTATAGTTTAATCTTAATTGCTAAAATTATGCTATTATCTACAGTACTGTATTTTGATAAATATATTAGAAAATTAGAAAATGATAATTTGTCTGTTGATAATATATTAATGTCGTCATCGTTATCATCGGCATGTTAGTAAGATTATTATCACTATCATTACCTCGCTTTGTACATAAATAATCGTTATTATGAATCATATGTTATATTATCATCGTCTGCAATTTCTCAAAATTTTCAAAGAATCATCATCATTGTTATTGTCAGTAGCAACATCATCATAATTAATATTATCATTAACGTCCTTTTGTCATTTTTTTTGTAATTTCATCATCAGCTCTGTCAACATCACTCACTCACTTTGACATAAATCCATTGAAGAAAAGCACAACCTGTAAATTTCTATTGAGAAATAATTTTATTTGCAATATCACAACATCATCTTTAGATACAATTGTTCCATTTATGAAATCTTAAAAACATTGTATAAATTATTGTGTACAGCTACCCGAGATATTTTGCTATGCTTGTAACGGTTTAGAAACATATAATATTTTAATACTATCAAAACGCTAGAAAACGTAACACACCTTAATTGGTTCAAATTACTTTACTCTTATATACAATATAGATTGTTATAGTTTAATCTTTATTGCTAAAATGATATTCTTATCTTCAGTATATCGATAAACTCACATTAGAAATTAAAAAAATAAAGATAATTTCTTTGTTCTAGATTATACTGCTTAAGTGTCAATTTTGGTTACACCTACATAATATAAGCCTGTTCTAGATGATGCCTGGCCCGTTACACACCACGATGTCAAACGTAGATGGTCACCTCTGGCGGACTATCAGGACAATGAAGACAATCCGACTCCTCTGCTTTTGATTTAAGTAGTTCATCGATAGAAAACATCCGACATTTCCGGCTCAATGGTACAGGTTCAATATCAAAAGTTCTTGGTTTTTCAACACCAAGTCGTTTTCCATTTTCAGTCGTCGGTACAAACTGTGTCCCTGCTTTGCAATCCAAGTCCCAGTGTTTGATGGGTGATGTAGGTTGGATGACTGGTTTGGTACGTGTTATCGTATGCAGGTATCTCATCCATTCGATGCAGGTTCTAGTAGCGACGTTATACTCCATTCCGTTTACGATGATAATGCATGGTAATTCATATTGCCAGCCGTCTCGCAAACGATACTTGCCAGTGTTTTTGACTCTCTCAATATATAGAGATTCGATGAAAATCTGGCAAACACATTGTCTGGCATTCCTGAGACTGTATTTCTCCGGGCAAATCCTACTAATGATATTTAAGACGTCAAGACAACTTCCAGTATTGTTCGAACAACGGAGCAAGGCTGCCACCACTAGTTCGTGGAAAGTCAAAGGCATAATCGAAGTAGCGAGATCGGAGAACAGCACGCTAGGCATAATTTAGATTTTAGATGAATTTCGGTCCGAGCACAGATAACCATCAACTGATGAGTTGTAGAAAGTTGGTGTGACTTTTATAGCCAAATGCTGCTACACTCAAACAATTCAAACTTGCTTTACAAAACGCTTTAAATGGTAGACAATAGAGCTCGAAGCACAATGCAACAGTCAATGAAACGCTAAACTCTACCAAGTAACGCGTTAGAATGCGGCCGCAATCATTGAGATGAAAGAAACAGAGTTGAAACAATAGAAACGATTTATGCAGGCGAATAAGTTTATGTCAATGCGTCTACCAAACTGAATGAACGGTGCGTTACTTACAAGCTTTAATAGTTACTAGTCTTAATTATACACTTATTTAGTAATTGGTTTTTTTTTTATATTATTATTTTTTTCCTTTTTTTTTTTTGTTAAGTGATGTGGCAGTAGAAAGACTTCATGAACTAAATAATTAATCAGAATCTAAACAAATAAATGGAGTCTAATATTATTAGCCAAATGAAATTGAATATGATATTAACATATTAAAAAAGTGATCTCAACGATGAGAATTGAAAGAGGATTCCTTAAAATTTTAATGATTGTAAATATGATATCAACAAAATTGGATGATGATGATGATGATGATGATGATGATGATGATGATGATGATGATAATGATGATGATGATGATGATGGCGACGATTACAACATTAAAAATGATAAATATGGAGAAATGATATTTTTTATCTTGATTATGATGACTATTATGATTATGAATAATGATCAGGATGATGATTAAGTAATGATGGTTGGGATAATAATAACCAACATGAATAATGTTGATGATGATCTTGATAATGATCTTGATGATAATGATGATGATGATGTTGTTAGTGATGGTGATGTTGTTCTGATGATATTGATCGAAGTATATTAATATTCATTGTCGCAATTCTGGTTATACTGTACATTAACCAATCAATGTTTTTTTGTAACAAATCGAAATATATTTGTAATTAAAAAGCAATACGATTCTAAAATATGCCTATATACTGGCATTTTACAAGGTGATAATTAGCAGAAAGCCCATGAAAAAATGTTTTAATTGGATTACAGAAGAAAAATATTGACACAAAGTATTTCATGTTTCTTTTCGTTTCCTCCTCATCATCATCATCATCTTTGATTATTATATTATCACCGTCTCCATGATCATTAACATGATTCTGTCATTATCAACTCGGTTAAGCACGACAATTATAAAACACACTAACCCAAAAATGGGCCTAAGATTGGGCATACAAAGTGCCACCATTTCTTAAACATAAAATATTAAAGGATGAGTAATGGGATGAAGGTAGGATTGTTTTAAAATGCCAAAAATAAAAACAAACCTCTACCGTGTTGAAGTCATTTTCATTCAAATATGGGTCACAAGTGTCGAAACCTCATGGAATATTAATCTATTTTACCCTAACCTGACCCAAATTTACACTGCCGTTACAAAAGCAGATCCAGTGCCTGTGTTATAATGTTAATTAGAATTCCATTTTAATGCTTTAATATATTTTCACCACCTCTATAGTCATTAGCATGGTTCTGTCATCATCAGCTCTGTCATAGTTACATCACCCATTCAGTCTGGGATAAGTAAAAAAAGACGACAATAGCCTATAAATTCTTATTTCAACATTATTTTATTTATGTTATCGTAATATCATCATTTTTATAACACTGAATACCCATTGTTACTATTGTGTACAATTGCCTGAAATATCGTTTTACTATTTGTTAACGTGCTAAGATACATTGATATTATATGACATAGAGTATGTATATCATAGCACACGTTGTAACTTCAAGCGTTTGTACAACGGTAAGTATGCATAACACTATTCAAAAATTGAATACAAGGCCCACACGGCCCAATATGTAACACATGCCTGGCACGCACAAGTACCAGGTATACCATCACCAAACCTTACATTATTTTTAATTGTTTGTTATACTTAATAACATAATATTCGGTACATTTTACACATAGATTCAGGATAGAACACGACAATTATTTTGAGTTAGATTTAGTCACAGTTCTGTTACACAACACGACGTCAAACATAGATTGTCACTTATGGAAAGTTAAGACACTCTGTCTTCTGCAGGCTTTAATTGGTTTATGAAGTTCATCGACAGAAAATATTCGACATTTCAGTATCTGTTGTTGTTGCTTCCAGTGGTGGCGTCAGAGGGTGTGCTCCCCCGCCCCTCCCGTCACTAAAAATATAAAGAAATTTTCATGTTTTTGGTTGTCTTCTCATCATCACTGTCACATCACCCATTCACTCTGCTATAAGTACATACTGAACAGCATGTAAATTCCTATTTCAAAATACTTGTATTTATATTATAGCAACATCCTCATTTTCATAACATTGAATGAACATGGTAATTATTATGTACATTTAAATGAAATACCATTTTAAAATTTCTTAAGGTACTAAAATAAATATTATATAACATAGAAATACTATGTATAATATAACACACGTTAATTGTTTGTCAAGCTTTTGTCAACACAAACTGCAGTATATAAACATTATACTAATAATACTATACAACTTCATATACGGAATTTATAAATAGATTCACGATAGAACACGAAAATTACTTTTAGTCAGGGACGTATTCAGGGGGAGTCATGGGTGTCGCGGCTCCCCCCGCCCCCTGCCCACACTTTGTACACAGTGTAAAAATTTCAAACCTTGTTCTTGAGCCAATAAACATTCTTATTGGCCTTATTACTCAAAATGAATACTTCTAAAGCATGTAAACATCCATCGGTACACGTTACACATAGACCTAATAGAACACATAGGCATAAGCGTGTTTAAAAAAAAATTATAAATCCATAAATCTCAGGCAAGGTTTTTAAGATATAGAAATGCGATACTTTATGGTTCAGTTTCGCTTTGATCCTTTTGCAAGTTTCTTTAAAGTTTTGTTTAATAATTACTACTACTAGTATTAATAACAATGATGATGACGATAGTAATAATTGATAATAATATTATTAGCAATAAAAAGTGAAGAAAATTGTGCTAAAATCGGAAAAAGATGTGATTTGTTGATCATAATTACTATAGTATAGTTAAAGCTTAGTGTAGTAGGCCAAAGTTGTCCTTGATATTAGTAGAACTCTGAAAGATCATGAGAAATTTGTTGGCGTTTCATTTCGACTACATAATGGTGATTTGATGATGATGAATTTTACTACATAAAAGTGTAATTTCCGGCCATATAGACATATTATTTCCTGAAATTTTCTCACTTCAGCCTCCCCCTCCACCTTTCAAAACAGATCTGTGCCCTCCCATAGGTATGACATTAAACTTCGTCGAGTTGGCTCATAATATATGTGTTAGTGACTCTCTGAGGCGAGGGTATATACATTTGTTTTTTAGGATGTGATCTGATCGAATAAAAAGAACAATATATTCAAATTTAAGTGTGAGAGTGTAATTTCCGGCCTAATCATAAATATTCTTACCTCAGCCCTAACCATGGTGGGGCTGAGGAGTGTCGTTCCTCGGTCTGTGAAAGTCTCTCCCTGATTCACCTCTTTTTCGAATTCCTGGATCTACCACGGCTAATTTATTATATAATTATTGTTGCGTTTATTTATTATGCGTCCATTGCAATTTTCACTTTATCCTCTCAAAACAGTCCTAAGAACGTACAGAGTGCGCTCCTTCACAGGAGGATTCGCCACCGGGTCCCCGCCAGGGTCCTACGTAATTCGCATAACTCCCCACCCCACCTTTCAAAATACCTGGCTACGTCCCTGATTTTAGTTAGATTTAGTCACAGTTTTGTTACATAGCACGATGTCAAACATAGGTGGTCATTTTTGGCAGACTATCTGGAAAGTTAAGACACACTAACTCTGCAGGCTTTGATTTAAGAAATACTATCGAAACGCTAGCTAACGTAACATACGTTAATTGTTCAAGTAACTTTGTTCTATGTACAATATATAAACTGTTATAGTTTAATCTTAATTGCTAAAATTATGCTATTATCCACAGTACTGTATTGTGATAAATATTAGAAAATTAGAAAATTATAATTTGTCTGTTGATAATATATCGATGTCGTCATCGTTATCATCGGCATGTTAGTAAGATTATTATCACTATCATTACCTCGCTTTGTACATAAATAATCGTTATTATGAATCATATTTTATATTATCATCGTCTGCAATTTCTTAAAATTTTCAAAGAATCATCATCATTGTTATTGTCAGTAGCAACATAATCATAATTAATATTATCATTAACGTCCTTTTGTCATTTTAATTTTGTAATTTCATCATCAGCTCTGTCAACATCACTCATTCGCTTTGACATAAATCTATTGAAGACAAGCACAACCTGTAAATTTCTATTGAGAAATAATTTTATTTGCAATATCCCAACATCATCTTTATATACAGTTGTTCCATTTAAGAAATCTTAAAAACATTGAATAAATTATTGTGTACAGCTACCCGAGATATTTTGCTATGCTTGTAACGGTTCAGAAACATATATAATATCTTAACTATCGAAACGCTAGAAAACGTAACACACCTTAACAGGTTCAAATTACTTTACTCTTATATACAATATAGTTTAATAGTTTAATCTTTATTGCTAAAAGG